CGCGAAAAAGTCAAATGGAGTTAAATCTGGAATTTTCAGCGCCTTCCAAGCCATCAGTTTCAAACAAGATTTGTAAGAAAATTGAAGTTCTACTGCGTGTTGGGTTTCATCATTACTCAAAATGCTCCTTCACGTTCAGAACGTTAAAGTTTCAGCTGTAAAAGACAAATGAATTTAAGCCAAAATTAAGCGTTTTCTTCACGAATAGTCTTCCAAAACTAGAGATTTCATGTCATCAAAAATATTTATAACCGTTTATATTTATAAACCGTAGTTTTCTTTACGGAAGAACTTCAAAATTTAATCGAAAATCGCCGTTATTTCAATATTTTCTCCGGAAAAAGTTAGTTTCCATCCATAGTTTAGTCATCAGTTCACGCAAGGTTTATAAAAAAAATTGAATTTTTTGGCTCGTTTTGGCAAAATGCTCTTTGAAACGAATAATTTAATTTGTAAATGTTGTTTTATTCTTCAGGTGCGTGTTGGCTCGTTTTGGTTAACAGAACATACAAATTTACGCTTCACTGGCCAAAACCCGATAAAAACATGACGGTCTAGAATTTTAATCATTCCAGAAAGTCCTCAAAATAGGCTAAAGCCAACTTTACTTAAAAGACGAAATTCAAACGACTCCAAATCTGGAAATTGCGGAGGCCCAAAACCGCCTTCTCAACCATCAAGCGTGCTTCCACGTGATTGAAGCAAACTGAAATTGTGCAACATTTTCCAAAATGAAAACTTTTGATCTTAACATCAAAACTTTCTTCATTGCCTCTTCACCAAAACTTCAGTAGCCGAAAAACTAACTTCTCACCCACCAAGAGAAAACCATTATAACTTCATATCGTTTGTGTGATTTCAACAATGAGTTTTTTAGGCGACACTGTATATGCAGGCGGAACTAGACAAATGCTGGAGTATTTTGACGCCATCGAATTCCCGTGCCCTCAACTGGAAAATCCTCTAATGTATTATCGTAAGTAATCCGTTGCTAACTGAATAATTAGCCACTCAAATGATGAAGTGCTTAGTCAACAGCTGGCAATTTCTTTCAAAAAAACGCGTTTATTTCAGTGTGTCTTTCGACGGTGGATCGCCGCTCCCGAGAGCGATTCCTCGAAAGCAACCACCAAATCGCCGAGTTGGTGGAAAAATTCAAAATCGAAGGGGGCGGGTACCGAAAGGGCACCACCATCGGCCCCACGCCCCCCGAATATAAAATTCCACTTCTTTTGGGGAAAATCGGCTCTTGCGGCGTCGCCTGGACGGTTTACATGTAGGTTTTCCCTCCCCAACAGGTCAGTTTGTTTGAAATTGCCATAATTGCAGGCGACTGCTGGCAGCCACGTTGTCATTCAAGAAAAGCGGATTAAAACAGTTTGGCTTGCGCCTGTTTCTGGTGCCGCTTTACTTTGCCATTTTATGGCTTTTCTACAACCGGATGGGGCTGTTTCAGCACACATTTGCCTCCAGGAGCGGATTGATTCTCAACAGTCTGGCTGGGGTGTATTTTTTGGGCGTCCTCAACACTGTAGTGCTCTGTAAGGGTCCATAGCTTTAACCAGGGCAATTTCCTGAAAAAACTTCTTCCAGATCCCACATATCGAACGCGATATTTCCAGGAGTCGCAAGAAGGGCTTTATGGAGGCACCATATTTCTAATCACCTACAATTTGCTGTCGATTCCATTCTCTTTTATCTCCTGTCTGGGGGCAGGCGCCATCGTATATCCGTGAGTGTCTTAGTTTCGCTGCATCATTTTGTACTTATCTGTGTTTTGTAGCCTTGTAGGCTCCTTCGACAACCTCTTGGAGTACTTGTTCTTCTCGCTGATCCTGTGGGCCTGCTACATTTTTGCTGAGCAGCAGACGATGGCCACCTTGATGATCGTCAAAGACCATCTACTGGCTGCCATCTTCAACATCTACATCATTTGCGTTTGCCTAACTCTGAGCAGTGGGATTCTTCGGTAAATCAACCCGCTTCATTTGCGCCAACTCACTTAACTTCGGGCTGTTCCAGATCCATCAAGGGGCTGCAGGATTGGCTGTTCTACTTGACGTACGCCACCCAGTCTAGATATGCGGCCGCTTTCCTAAACAGGCAGGTCTTCCTGGCTGGGGACTTGAGCAAGCCACTGCCTTTCGACCAGCAGCATAATTGTACCAACATGAATCTGATAGAATCGTCGCTTTTGAATGGCATCACCAACCCTTATTGCAGGTGAGTTGCGATCAGCAAAGTGAGTTTAAGTGAGCAAAGTGAGTTTTGGGGTTTCCAGATACGCCAGTGGGCAGAGTTTCCTTTCGGAAAGGTATGCCCGAGATCCAGGCGATAATATTTTCAATGGGATTCTGGATTCTGACCTGAACATTGGGATTACGTTTGCCTTCACTTTGGGCATGATTGTTTTCAATTTGTTTCTCTATTTAGTCCCACTTCCCGCGTTTGTTAAAGCCAAGTTTCGAGAGTAACTTGGCGAATTTATCTTTATAAACTAGGTTTAGGTATTTTATGCTAGACTAAGAGTATTTTAAAATGTGATATATTTGAGCAACAAGCCTTATCGTAGTCCGTCCATTAACTGTAAGGTTTTGTGAGCAATTTTAATCTTAAGGCTATTTTTATGTTAAAATACACTAACCGCTAAGGATGTAAAGACGCAACTTGCAAATAAATGTATGTTTATTGGTGTTAGGATTATTTGTCAGCACCCAATTTCCATCGACGAGCCGAAAATCACCAACTTTTCAAATCATCTGTTGCAATTCACTAATTCAGTCAAAGGTCTAAATTAGATTGTGGAAAACACCTTGTTTTTACGTTTAAATACTTTCGAACAATCGACGTTTTACATATGTAAATATATTTTTGCAAACTCCTCTGCCTCAAAAGTGCGTTAACTTAAGCCGTGACGGTATCAGTTTGGAACGTAGCAACGCGCAGCCCATCTTGCTTCTCTCTTTGACTCCGATGCGTATGAGTGAGACAACCGATGCTAGCTACATTCCCAAATGGAATCATTTGCTTAAGAAAAAAATGTCTGAGTACCCAAATTGCACATGATTACGACGATAATGCGCCTTCAGCCCGTTGCTAAATGAAGAAAAAACGGGGAAAATCGCCGATTCTACATTCCCAAATGGAATCATTTGCTTAAGAAAAAAATGTCTGAGTACCCAAATTGCACATGATTACGATGATAGTGCGCCTTCAGCCCGTTGCTGAATGAAGAAAAAACGGGGAAAATCGCCGTAATATTTTCTTGAAGATTAATGATTCAATTCGGCATATTCAAATGCATGTTTAGCCCTCTAATGTTGGTGATTTGATGCTGATGTTTCGCTTGCACGCATGGTTATCATTTTCAGAGGTGGGTTGATCGGCACAGACGAAAATCACCAATGATTCAAAATCATTTGCTGCCAATACCATCATTAAAAACACGATTTAAAAAAATTCTTCAAACTCCACCTTCACTTTCTTCATTTGGGCACTCCTTACTTCAGTTCATCAACCAGCCAACCAGTCAAATTCCTGCTCTTTTTCCTATAATCCGTTCAAAGTGCACCTTCGGAACCTTTTGATTGAAGAACCACCTCCGCTGCTTCTTCACGATTCTTCGCTGAAGAAACACGTTTTTCTTGATAAGAAACGGCGTTCATCTCACGACTCAACGGTTTTATACACGGCGGTTGACTAGTAATTGGTTTTTAATTTAAAACGAAGAATTCGTGCTTTATAGAGGCCTGTTCCTGATGTGTGCTAGCTAATCGAAGAATGCGTCGATGTTCTAGTCAGTTTTTTAAGCTTTCAGTGCAGGAAAATCGAACCAGTGTAGACTGTTTTCAACGCGTTTTTGTCGCACCGTGTAAAATTACGTCGGATTTTCCTGCTTACCAATTAGACTTGATTTTTGCGGTGATGAAGGCAGCAGCACCAACAAACAGTACCCGAACCCGATCGGTTAGTTTGCTGCAGCATTCGTTGTGATACAGAGCGTTGCTCCGAAAGTGCGCCCGCTCTTCTAATGTTTGTATCATCCGTGTAGTCGATCATTTGTGTGTAATGCGCTTAATTGTGTAGGGGACACATTAGTGGACAGACTGTTCGGTTGCTGAAAGTGAATGTGGTTTTACTGGTTTGTCCAATTTGGATCAGAGCGAAAGGATTTTTAGACCGATAGTCAGGTAATACAATGCTGCATGAGCCGATTGATCGGATTTACCTATTGATTATTGAAGGCTCAAAAGTTTTTCAAAGTTTCCTGCTATGCGCAGGGGCGTAGGTATCACTTAGACCACGTTTCGTCATTTTGATTAGCCTGATGGTTAAACCATGTGGTGATTTAGAAAAAGTGAAATTTTTGGGATCTTCCTCAGGTCGCATTTCTGATGAAGCGCTTTAGCTAATTCCCAGTAAAACCGATTTACGCGAATTACTTAAATCGAATTGATACCTGAACTTGCTTTCACGCCTCGTTTATCAGTTTTGCCGATTCTTTGAATTGTCTGATAAGTGAGGAATTTATTTTTTATTGTCTATAAGGCAAGATAACAAATTATCAAAGCTGTTAAACAGCCATAAATTCCTGTTAACTGTTGTTTTATGAGGCACTTTGGCCAATTTCGAGTCGCTGCATGGCAAAAGCGACGTTTTTTAGGTTTAAATCGTGCCCATTTCAGCAACAATTGCTTCAAATTAGTGTAATGGGTACATTTTCTAATCTGGCCTTCGTTTTGACGAATTTTGTAAGCTCCAGTGGCGTAAGGATGGAATGTAAACACTTGCTACATTTTCGAAAATCGCACTTTTAAAGCCAATTAGAACTATAAGTGGATTTTAATTGTCGATCATTGACTGTCAATCAAATTCATTCGCCTCTCAAAAAATCAGCTACTTTATGCGTGATTTGAGCAGCAGGCTCGATTTCCAGACAATGGAAAGAGGAGTTTTCTCGCAATTATTACACTCTTCAAGGAAGCAAAACGTATTCAGTTCGCAATTTATTCACGGATATCAGCGGTTCTTGCAAGTTATCCAATACGTTTCTCGTAAGGTATGAATTCAACAAGGCCACTGTATAATTAGATTTAGATTGGGTTTTTACGTCGATATGTGGTGGCACAAAAACCGCCGTTCCGTGTTCTTCTTCCTTCTATTCCATTTCTCCAAGGACATAAAAAATTTTGAATTTCTTCGAATTTTAAGAATAAATAAACAATAAATTGATGTAAAATCATTCGTCTAATTGCATGATTAAACGGATTTTCTCAAAAGAGATAGACTTTTGAGGCCCTTCCTTGAAACTAATGGGTTTTTCGGGTTCCGTCGTTCGGTAGAATTTCTTTAGAATTAGTTTGAATTCTTCAGAAGTGGTTTGCTTGAACGCTTACACTGTTCTCATCAGAACCCGTGCAGTTCTTCCGCAGAACAAGGCAAAGTAATGCTAAACTTACCG